TCTTCCGATTTCCCTGTAACACTACAGGCCTTCTTTCCAAAAGGTCCTATCAGGGGCAGAACACCCCAAAGTGGCAGACAGGAAAGAACATGCAGTAGGAAGCCTGGCATCCAGACCTGGTCACTAATGATCTCTGAGTAAGTGCCACCCTGTGGATCATCCTTTATCTACAAAGCTGATCTTCTGATAATGCACTTTCTAGGTAACTTTTTGTTCTTTGAACCAGGCAGGGGAAGACTTTATTAGGGGTGGGGGGAGACTGATAAGAGGAACTGGTTGCTATAAAACTGTCACTAAGTGATAAAAGGGTTCTCTCAGGAGGACAAAGAGCATGGGCAAGGAGCAGTTATGGATTGTACATTATAAGTCTTGGGGTTTCTTTTTTACTTTTGCAGCTGGGAGCTCTAGTATTTAGTTGAATGAAAGGACTTTTCTGAATAATTATAGTTCCTAGGGTTGCTGTGCGATATACAATGAATTTTTAGGCTTAGGGTTTACCACTTGATTCTTCTTGTTTAGCAAACAAAAATTGAGATGGGGTATGATTTGGTTATGTTTGTTGGCCTATATGAACTTGGCTTAATTAAATGCTGCTTCTTCTATATGTGTGCTTAGTCTAATTTCTTTTTTTTTCCTTTTACGTGCATGTTAAAGGAAGAACATTTGACTGACTTGTAGGTCTCTTACACTGTTACACAGAAAAAATGTGGTGGAGAAAAATGCTAATTTTTGCGTTTCATAGGTGACTTACTAAAGAGAAACCAAGGAGTGTAAGTGGTTGAAAAACATTAAAAGAAAAGAGAGGGTAGGGGGAAAAGACTAAATTGTCAAAGCAAGAAGTACTGAGGAACAATAGGGGACAATATTTTTAAATAGGAAGAGTTGATCTCAAGTAAATAGGTAAAATTTTATATTTAAGAAAATAAATGTGCATATTTTAATGTTTTTATTTAATAAAAATATTGCTAACTTTATGATAATTGCATATAATAATGACCAGTATCTAATGCGATGAGTGCATGAGAAATAATTAAATTACAATTTTGTGGAGAAAGTTTTATCATGTAAGCTGTAGTGAAAGTTGGCAATGTATATCATTACTTCAGAGTAAAACTTCAAGATTTTAGGTTAGAGTTCATGATTAATTCATGGCTTAAATTTTTTTACAGTAATGGGTTACCCCGATGCTTATGAATATATTCGGTATGCATTTCCATATTTTCAAGTGATTCAGTTTCCTTAAAGCTTTACCTTAACTCTGCTTTTTCTTTCTTGAATTTCTAATAGCTTTTGATGATTTGGCACTCTTGCAATATTGTAAGCAGAAGTTGCTGATCACTCTTACCAATAAGTATTTCCAATGTTAATGAAGATTTTAAAAAACATGTGGTGTGGTTTTGGAGGCAAAGCCTTGCAGAGCACTGATACTAGGATAGTAATCTCCTGATCTTAATACTGTGTGGTTTTTATGACTCTCACTAAGTTTTGTGAATTGATTCCCCAGCTGCTACCATTGTCCATATAGGCTCCATGCCTGGTTTCTTCTACTGAGGGTCTGCAGACCTTGGGTCAGGCAAAACAGGCCTGTTGCAAACGTTATCATGCTCCAGCATCTCCTGCATACAAAAAAATTGGGGGAGAGGCCATGGCATGTAGGCAAATCCAGATGTGGGGACTGTATTCAAACTAGAGAAGAGAACTTGAGTTGGAATGACCATAGAATCTGATTTTTTGAGGGGGGAGGATAGGTGACGCCAGCAGAACTTGAAAATTGTTCCAGGTGTCTGAGCTGCTGGTAGTTCAGAAGAGCAGGAGTGTGTTAGAGTCCCTATAGGTCTAAGAGCATTGTTAAATCAAGGGAATTAGAAAATCAGCTGCTTACAATAGTCTGCTAATTCACTACACTTACAGCTCTTATAGTTTGCACCTGTGAAGTAGTAAAATCTCCATGTTCCTGGCAGCAGTTTAATCTCAAAGAGGTTGCTTCAAATCAAAATCAAGCATAGGCTTGAAGGATAGTTAGTTTCTTTCCTTTACTTTCCTCCTCCATACTCATTTGCCAAATAAAATACATTGTGATTTCACTTCCTAGAATTTTTTCTGCACACAGGAATGCCTTCTGTGGATATATGCCCCTTAATGGGACTTCTCTTCCTTAGAGAAGGGACAGGGATCGAATTTATTTTGACTTAACAGATAGAAATTTTTCCTGACCACTCTAAAAAGTAAGTGTCTGAGAAATGTACAAAAAGGAATATTCTGTTGGTGTCTTGTCTCCACTATTGGGTGGTAAGAGATGGAGAAGATGTCAGGATTTAGTAACCAATAGTTACAAGCTCTGGCTGTCAGCAGGACTGGATAAGAGGGCAGCTTGCAAAAAAATGGCAAGGAAATTTCTCTTTCAGTTGGTTTTGTTAAATAATGTTCACTGTTATAGACTCTCTTAAAGATGATTTCTTTTCAGTAAAAGAAACAGAATTACTAAGTCTATAAGTCACCTTGCATTCACCATAATTCTGGAGCCTAGTGAACCATTCTGATGTTTCCAACTCACCCATAACTAACTTCTCAAATATGACTCCTGAAGTCAGAAACTTAGTAATGTGCTCATGATTTCTGAAATAATCTACATTTTGAAGTTGCTATTCTATTTGAAGTTATAGTGGTTTTTGGCTTTTAGCTATAGTTGTAAATTTCTCCTGTGTCAACATTGTGTATCCAAACTACAACCAAAAAAAAGTTTGCTAGATGGCACCAATTTTTTTAGTGAAAATAACTTTTGAGTGTTGCAAGGTGAGGACGAAATCAGGCTTGTAACAGAAATAATAGAAATTTGGTTTATGACTGTGGTAAAACATTTGTGGTTAGTAAGAATAGAAGTTAGTACAGTTTCTTCCTTTTCTATGTTCTTTAATAAAGAAAAAATTTCATGTGACTAGAAATATTATTGTGCAAATGAAAATATGTGCAATTTCAGAACATAGTATTGAATGTTGAGGGGTGTTGTTAATTTTCTAAAGACTTTATACTTTTCACAAAGTATACTTCATATCTTCAAAGTACTTTTCATATCTTACAAAAATTGTATACCAAAGTTAAAAACGATAGTTTTTAATAGTTGGTTTTTAATTTAGTGGCTGAGGTGGGGAAAGACATCATCACAGCACAATGCTGAGTGCCTCCAGGCAGGCACAGCTCCTCTAAAGTTAATGAATCCATTTAGATTTATACCAGCTGAGGATCTGATCCAGACTATTCCCCCTGATGTCATAGCTAGGATGCGAAAAACTCTGTGATGAAGAAAAGCTTTTGCATTCTTTTTCCCCCACCTCCCCATCAGTGGTCTGGAGCAAAAAAAAACCAAGCAAACACAAAAACCAAACAACCAAGCAAACTGATTTAAACAGTTTTTTTGCTGAGTCAGTATGCCAGATTTCAGAGCTTCAAGGCAAGAGGAATTAAGAGCTGAATGCTGCAGCTAAAATACATGCATTGTACTAATGTTTTATTTATTATATGACTCTTCTAAAAACAAAATAGCTAATTTTTAATTTTTTTTTCTGAATACTGTTTTTTATGTTTTCTGAAGAGACTTGCTTAAAACCATTATAATCACCACTTAACTACCACAGTTGAATACAAATACGTTAGGCTTTTAATGCAAGGGGATATATACGTATAACTTCTGTGAGAGGTTAGATGGATACACATGCGTAATCTTGTACTAAAATAAGGATGTATTCTGTGCCCAGAATACTTTCTTCTTAAATTTTAAAACAACTTTTTGGTGCCTTTGATATGGTGCTTTGGTAATACGAGATGCATTACAAAAAGGGAGGTAACAACAGATATGCTGATGCAGTATCAGGAAAAGCATATTAACCAGAATTTACCAGAGAAAAGGGTAGAAGGGGAAAAAAAACTAAGGAACTGGATCACAAATTTGAGTATCCAACTGGCAATAGTATATTTCTGAAAGATAGTATCTTAAAACTCTGTAAATCATTCCTAAAGAGACATAGAATGGTCAAAGTTTGTTTCATGTTTATAGCCTACATTTTTGCTCTGTCTGGGTCCAAGGCTCTATAATTGTCTCCCACTCTATAAATGAGAGGTTAGTGTCTCTTTGCATTTAGATGACCTGATTTACTTCTGAAGTTTATATTGGAGCATAATATTAATCTATTAGATCATGTTGACATCATGATTTTTTTTTTCTTTTACTGCCTCTTAATAATTTTTGTTGAAGAGCTCTCTATCTTATTTTTCCACAGGTAGAATTAACAAGTAAAAATAGAATAATATCTTCTAGGAAGTTGGAGTCAACCTTCTGTAAGTTAACTCTCTAAACTAACAATCAATTGCATCTATATTCCAGCCATTCTCTGTCTCTGTAGTGAGACTTTTTATAGAAACAATGTTAATGTTTCTTGTAACACTTTTTTTTCATAAATGAAAATTCAATTCAGGAACATTAATATGCTTAGAATTGTAACATTGAACTCTTTATTTTAGTCTACCTCATTATTTTTTGTAAATATTTCTTGAATTTTAGTGGTAAAAGAAAAAAGTACTCTCAGATTGTGTTATTGTGTCTCTACATCTTGCTCGAGTCCAACACTGCTACAGATCCCTTATCCTAGCAACTTTAATTTTAATAAAACCTAACTATTTATTTATAATATATCTGGGTCTGAAAACACTTTTCCAAGAGGGTCTGCAATAGTTTTGACATTTTACAGAAGGCAAACTGCAGCATAGAATTGTCTATAGTCACACATTTTGCCAAAGGTAGAACCAGGAATAAAATATGAATCTTGTGACTAAATATGAATCTAGTGTCATGTGTCATTCCCTGGACCACAGCGCCCATCCCTAGTTAAACCTTTTTAGTCATTTGTGTCTGTCTTATGTTCTGATAACCCAGGTTTAGACATTCCAAATTTCTTTGCTTGTGGCATAGACGTGGAATTATACCTTCACACATTATGTAACATTGCATACTGTGCACTGTTAGAAGTGTTAAGTGGTGTTTGATAGGATTATAGTTCCTATGCAGATTTGTTTTTTACTGTCAGAAAACTGGTGTGTTGTTTTGGCAAGTGTATTTTTTAGTATAGTTAATATGTACACGTGCAAGAATTGTATGATTATGCTAACAACATTAAACTTAAATCTTATCTCAGTTTTTCTGTTTTGTTTTGGGTTTTTTGCACAGTGCCTGCAGATACCTCTTAGCTCATCCTATAAAATGGTATTTCAGAAGGCTCCAGATGGTGGATGGGGCTGGGTGATAGTTGTAGTTTCCTTCTTTACTCAGTTCTTGTGTTATGGATCTCCGCTAGCAGTTGGAGTCTTGTATTTAGAATGGCTGGATGCTTTTGGAGAAGGAAAAGGAAAGACTGCATGGGTTGGATCACTAGCAAATGGAATTGGATTGCTTGCCAGTAAGTCAAGAAGCAATATTTATCTGCCTGTTTTTCTTTCTTTGTTTTTTTTCCTGGTTAATTGAAATGTTCTCTCCTTCATAACATATGCTTAATCATTGTGTGCCTTTAAAATGCACTAAAGTTCAGTATGCTTGAGAATCAAAAGGGGTTTTCATCCTGGTTTGGGGGGGTTAGTTCAAAATAGTTAATAGCATTAATATTCTGATGTGACAAATCAAACCTGAAAAGAATCGGATGGTGGCTTAAACATTCAAAATGTTTCCCAAAGGATGAATCCAAAATAATTAAAATATAGCAGACTGAGAAACAAAAACCTACTAACTTACTGTGAACTACAAATAAGAAGTTTTGAGAGGGTACAAAACTTTTAGTTGTAGTTCTGTTGAAAGGAAAACCAGTAGTTGTTACCTTGAAAAATTATTCAAGTGGATCACAATGAGAGATCAGTTAACAGATGAAGTAGTCAGTCATTTAAGCTTCAGAAATGAAACTGCCAGCTGAAGGAGGTCAAGGCTTGTAACTGCTCCTTGAATAAAACTCCCTCTTGACATCTGGAAAGGCATGTATAAATGTCTGCAGTCAGTACAGTAAGTTCACTGGAGCTTTTCTGGAGTAAAAAATATGTCCTTTTTAAGAGGTACAGAGGCACTGAAAACCTTATACATGTCCTAAAAATATTCCTAAAGGTAAAGCATAAAGAATTGCCTAATGTACTAGCTTCTTTTAAAAAGTGCAGCTGTTAAATGAACTGCTACTACTAGAAGGCAGCTAAAAAGATCTAGTTCTTAAATTATTCATTTAAATATTTTAGTAATGTATCAATTATTCATTTTAAAGGTTTCAGTATTAGCTCTTAAGGGTTCTATTTGCAACTTGACCTGTGGCCTGCTTGTTATTTCTCTAGTGTGTTTTTTAGAATTCCTGTATTGTTTGATTTGACAATACATCTTGGAGTCCTTTTCTGCCAACCCTGTGAACTGAAATGTAAATGTAACTAACAAACTTATCATTAGTAAATGATGTGTTCTCATTTACACCATTGTGAAGTCCTAGATTACAGGAAAGATTGGACTATTGTGGTAATTTTAGTCTGACCTACGTAATGTAGGTCATAAGAGCCCCTGGAGTGGCTCTTATCTGAATTCTTGTTTTGAATTGGAAACAGCTCTTTTGGGGGAGCAGGGAAGATGAAAATAAGTAAACCCAGCTTAAAAATTGCTAGTGCGTCATCAGCTTGTAAAGAGGGTCTGAGCACCCTGGCTGGGATTGGGTTTGCAGGGGGGATAGTAGCCCCTGTGGGGGGCCATTTGACCCCCGTGTGGGGGGCCATAGCCCCTGTGGGGGGACAGCAAAATACATATTCATGAAACATGTATTTAGAGTTCATTTTATTATTATGATAGAGACACTGGTAGGCTTTGACATTGCTTTAATACTGTAGATATAGCAATAAAACATTGCCCAACTGATCGCCGTCTCTCTGTTTCTCACTCTTTCTCTATATATAGTGGTCTTTTGTTTTAATTGTGGAGGAACATGGATTTTGGGATATTTTATAGAGTGACTTTGGGATTCTTTTTTAAGTAGGGAACACCAAAATTCTTGCTGGGGTGGCCAGTGGCAGAATCCTGCCTGCTCAGAGCTGGCATCTTAGACCCAGCTGGCTGTGGAACATCTTCTGGGCCATAGCTGTCCAGATGGCTGGGCAGGGGGGGCACATGGCAGTAGTGCCGCACAGAGGCCAACCCTGCAGCTACAGCCCACTGGCAGCTGGCCCAGAGTGGCAGATACCTCTACTGTCTGTGCAGTCCCTATCTGGATCTGGCAGGTGCGCAGCAGGTCACAGCCTGGCAGCAGCCCGCACTGCCAGACTGCTGCAGTGGGTAAAGGGTGCAGGGAACTCTCAGGGCTGCTTCAGCAGTCCATCTGGCACAAGGGGTAGTTTCCCCAGGTACCAATTGGCAGGACCCTAGAAGCTCCTGAGAGTGAGTAGCCCTAAGCTATTTGCCAGGGCAGCTTTTTCTACTGATAGGGCCAGGACAGGGCAGCTTTTTATACTGATGGGGATAGCACTTGTGCTGGCCCCGGGCTCTAGCTTCCCCTGGCTGCAGATCTAGGAGGAGTCAGGTGGGTTATTTTGCCCCCAATGGCATAATTTGCTCCACAACAAAGTGCATGTCTAAGCAGGTGTACTGAGGCAAAAAGCCCTGGCTCAAATTTGCACTGCTGCTGCAAAGGCACGTGCTTGCATGTGTGGACGCACCCCAAGTGTGTAAAGGAACAACTTCCATGTTTTAAATTCTGAACTGAGCCGGATCAGCACGTTCAACCCATTCAGTTCAGCAGATAGAATCTTCTGTACAGTAGAAGATGAGATTTGTGTAGAGTTAGACTGGGACATTGTATATGCCTAGTGTAGGACTTTTTTATTAAGATGAATTTCACATTAGCTTAATGTCTCACTCTTGAACCCTCATGTGTAATTGGCCACATCCCTGAGGCTTATGCTTTCACACAGGTGAGAGAACACTTAGAAATAGTGGAGGAGAAAACTAGGTGTAATTGATAACAAAGTGACTGAGCTACTAGCCAACACAATCCTAGGAGGTATCCATTTAAATATTTGAAGTAGAGATGGGGAAGGCCCTATGTATAAGGTCCTAGAGAGACCTCATCTAGAATACTGAAGACTGATCTAGTCGTCCATGGTCAAGAAAGGTAAATTGGAATGGATTCAGAGAGAGGCTTCACATCCTCATAATTGATCTGACAAGAAGAGATTGAAACTCTCTTATAAAATGGATATAAAATGAATCCATGAACCAGAAAACAATTAGATGTCAGAAGGGAGAGAATGTTAATCCTGTTGCCCATAAAGATAAAGAATTATCTGGGAACCATGGATTGAAACAGCATCTCTGGAATGGGTATATTGGCATTAGGCTGAAAGATCTAATGAGTAATTTCTTCTGACAAGCTTCTTGTCTGTATGTTAGACAGATGGCCAGTTTTCACAGTCTGGGAAGGCCTTGTTGCACCCAAGCCTATTAAATATAATTTAAGCAATGGATATCTTCTTTTTTGTAGTTATCCTAGATTTCTTCTGACCAATGTGTCCATCTGTGGAGTGCAAAATTTATTTGTCTCAAGGAAGAAAAGTTATGTACTCTTAGCACTAGGTTGATTTCTTTTGGGAATGCCCTCATTTCATGTGATTTCTCAATTTTAATGTTATTGAAGTAACTTTTTTCCATGTGAAGGGCAAGATGTGTCTCTCTTGGGCTATATCAAGGTTGCTTCTGATGGGATGCAAGCGAGGGGATAGGTTGTTAGAGAAATATTCAACTCTTCAGAACTCTGGATTCCTACCCTTCTCTGTCCACTGGTAGGAATCTGAGTTACTGGAAGTTTAAATTTCCTTTATGGGAGGGACTGATTTAAAAAAACAAACAAACAAAAACAACAACAACAAAAAACAAACAAAAACGTGTGGGGGAGGGTAACGGTGCTTCTCTGGTCACAGAATACTGATCGAGAAGTAGGGAAAAAAAGTGGAAATTCCTTTGCCTAATTGAATTATTTTATTGCTGCCTAATGTTTTGAGTGTAGAAGAACTCTTTATGTAATACAGACTCAATCTCTTTGTTTTTGTGCTTTTTTTTCCCAACATCCTGTTTTAAGAAGCATACCAGTCTAACTTGCTAGCTTTAAGAATCACTAACAACCTAACACTTAGCTTTTGTTCCCAATAAATTGCATGCAGTATTGCCAAACTTCCATAGCATGCTGATTCTTGCCTGTGACAAGCAACAAGTTGCCTTCTCAACTTGATTTCAATCTTTCCATTGCCTCCTTCACCTTTTTCTAAGATCATAATAGCTGTAATCACTAATCAGTCGTCTTCTTCCTTCTTTAATTCTCATGCCTTGCCTGGATAAAGCACTTAAACCCCCTTCAAGACTTTTAAAACAACTTAAAGAGTAAAACCTGTAACTCACCTTGTACTCAAGTATTGGTTTTCCCCTGGTATCAGATTTGTACTATAGCCTTATCCATCTCCAGAACTGTTTGTCCTTGGTGCTGATAACAATAACAAAAATTTGGCTCATGTTCCTATCTGTAAACCCAGTCAAAAACCTGACATCAATTCTCAACTGCTGTTGGCTATCTTGCCTCACTTTCCATAATTTGGTGTACCCCCTTATTCCAGTTGACAAATGGCAAGTTGGTAGACTTCTTCTGTTGTAGATAACATCTACTATTACACAGTTCTTATTCACACTTACAACTTGACTTTGGCCTATCCAGATGCTCTTTAACCATGTACTTTTAGTTCTGGACTCATGCTTGAATTTTGCAGGTGGCGAGTAACTCAGTAACAGATTTGCCAGTCTAAAAACCTAGTTCTGAAAATGTTTCAAAATTGTCACTTTAGTTAAGAGTTTGAATTCTGTAACTGAAGCCCGCTGCTAGCAAAAATACTACTTTCTTCATGTAGAACACTGGGTTTGCACAACACTTCACAGGAAAGGACATCATCCTGTTCCCATAATTGAAAGCACATTTTTTGTTTTTGTCTTCAATGGGGAAAGTATGGGCAAAATGGGGGTCAGAGTGGAAATGATTATGTACCTAGAAATGTGCTCCCCCCCAGGTATTTGCAAATGATTTTCTTTTCCATTCTGTATGTCCCTGTTTCTAATGGGTAAGAACTTGCTTGCATATCTAATGTTAATATTCCTATACCCTAATGTTTCTGTATATTACTGGAAATGTGTATGGGGAGCGAGTCGAAGGGACAAGCTCCTGTAAGCTTAGAGTGGGTATAAGCCCCTGACAATTGCTCTAAAAAACTAGCTTCCCTCCACCCCCATGTATTTTAAAGGTTTTTTGTTTGTTTTTTTGTATATCTGAGATCCTTTTTCTAGCTTTTTGAAAAAGGAAAGGTATTATTTTTTGTCTTGGTGAATCTACAGTTACTGTTTTGTGTAAGCACCAGATGGTAGCATTAACATAATTTTGAGCAAAAGTTAATGTTTCAGTATTAAGTTTCAAAATGTCATCCTATGTTTTAGCCAAGTACAAACATTCCATTCCTACTGGGAGAATGACCAGTGTACACACAAGCATACAGACATTCAGGCTTTTTCTCCTAGAGCAAAAATGACCATTCTAAGAGAAAAATAATCTCAAAGCTACCAGGGTTAAATATCTTTTAGGAGACTGAACTTTTGTACCTGGGAGGAGTGGAGCTAGGGGAAAGACTCCCTGCCTTCCTGAGACTGGAGTCGCTCTGATCTTGAGAAGGCTTGGGAAGCAGCTTCTGCCTCCCCACCCCTTCCCAGGACGTAAAGGAATCAGCAACCACCACTCCATGCCTCTTCCCCAAACCAGGCCTCCCCTTGCTGCCCCTACCACCCGGCTGAGTGATGGGGTGGCAATTTTTAAGAGCTGGGAGCTGGGCAAGTCTCCCTGACACAACTACAAGTCAGCCCAGAGAAGGGTAAGGAGCAGAAGTTATTCTATAGGAGAGGACTGGAAGGGTTTCCATCCCAGAGAATATCCCCTTCCTGCCAATCCAGCTGATTGGCAGAATGGGAGGAGAAGGGTATTCTCCTGCAGTGGGAATCCCCCTCCCCACCCCAAACTATCTGTGGCAGCTTTTGCTTTTAAGCAACTGCCACTTGATAGCCTGCCACATTCCAAGGCAGAGAACAGGTCAGGCTTTGAATTAATAGTGTGGTCCAGGGACCAGCCCTCACAGCTTGCCTGTGAATCTCTCCAGCCATTGGGTTGGGGGAACATCTGTACAGTCCAGCTTCCAGGCTGTTCTTTCTTTCAGGAAAAAAAATTCTTCTGGCAGAAATGAATGTCTGTACACAGCTTTAGAGGCCATATACATTCACTTTCTCCTGGAATAATCACTGTTCCCCCAGTAGAAACAGTGTACAGATGTTATTCTCATTTATTATTCTTCTCCTCGTGTTTTGGGGAGAAAAATAACCTGAAAACAACCAGATTAAATTGGTTTTGGGAGAGTTTCTCCTCAGAGAGCGAACACTTTTTGTCTTCTGAGAGAAGCTGCAGCACAATGCTCTGACATTCCAGGTGCTTTGCTTCTACCCCACCCTGCGAGACCGTGTCACTCAGGCTGGACTCTAGTGCTCCAGCCAAGCAGAGAGCAGAATATGCCCCCTTCAGAATCTCCACATAGTGCAGGAGGCTGTAAGGAAACACAGGCAGACCCTGAGCAATGTGGGTCAACCAATCAGGGCTGCTCCATGCACTGCTGCCACCTGTCTTCAGGCAGACTGAGGGAGCCTGCAGAACATTTGAGATGTGTATGCAGTGTCAGCACTGCAAGCTGTCTGCTCCTCAGGGACTCGGTATTCAAATATTTGTTCAGGAGCCTCAGTAATTTTTTCTACCAGGAGAATAAACCTGGGAGAATTTCTCCAGATCATTTGAATGTGTGTATACTGTCTGAGTTAAGCTATGGTCTATTCAAAATGATTTTGTTGACTTAGCAACATCTATACATTCAGGTTAAAACAGAAAAAATATTATCAGGCTATTTGAGGTCAGATTTTTTTAAAATTGATTTTTGGAAGAGTCCTTTAAGGGGGAAAATGTATATGATTATAACCTATACTAATCAAAACACAAAATCATAGACTTATCTGCAGGCTCCAGGATTTTGTAAAGATTTTTTTAAAGGCAGCGTGTTCAAACTTTTCCTGGTACCATTCAGTGTTGCATGAATAAAATTTGCCAAGAAATTTGCTGTTGCCTGTCTGAATTTGTATGTTTTTAACGTACTCATTTTTTCTGTATCTTAAGTACAATATCTTGCATAATTTTAAGAACAGTACCAAACCTGAAACGGGAATACCAAGCCTGAAGGTGGGAGTGGGCCTCAAATCCTTGTTGCCTTGGGCTGAAGTTTAAAAAGGTTTTGTATGTTCTTTTCTTTTGTTTCCCCTCCAGGTCCTATCTGTAGTATATGTGTGTCTTCTTTTGGAACAAGACCTGTGACAATCTTCAGTGGTTTTATGGTGGCTGGGGGCCTGATGATGAGCAGTTTTGCACCTAACATATACTATTTATTTTTTTCATATGGAATCATTGTTGGTAAGAAACTTCAATCTTAAATTGTCTTTATTTTTCAGCAACTAAAAGTTGCATAAATCATAGAGTCCTAGGGTTGTATGGGACCTTAGTTGCCTAGTCTAACCCTCCTGCAGAAATAGCACATTGTGCATAAGTAGTACATTCCATCTCTGCCAAATGCCTATGTGGCCTCTTTTTGAAGGCTCTTCTCTTTATAATTAAAGTAAACTTACTCCTGGGACCAGTTCTTTCTTTGATTCCTACGTCAATGCATAAGAATCAACAGCATAGATACATCTGCAGGACTTGGGCTTTATTCATCAAGAAATGTTGTAATCCTTGTAGTCAAGGATTCGCAGTACTGCAGTAGTGTGGATACAAATTGTGCACACTGAGTGTGCAAGTGACTGAAAATGCCAGTGCATGACAACCAGCCTCTTCCATAAATCTCATATCTCTGTGCCCTGCTGCTATCATTCCTTGTATCTTAAGTACTTCTCTTGCTTAGCTGTGCATTTTGAACAGCAACGATGTGTCATACATTCCTTGACTGGTGCATTAGAATGTAACTGCTGGCAGATGACCTGATAGGTTACTTTGCACCAGGTGCCATTTTAAAAGCATCCCTAAAGTGCTCTGAGGGCAGTCGCACTTCTTTCTGCCAAACCAGCAGCTCACCATTTAGCAGCTGCTTGGGCATTTGCATATCATCTAGCTCTGCTACATGTACAGCCCAGTGCAGATGTACTCTTAAGATTTAAAGCTTTAGTGTAAAACCTCAGTATAACAAGGAAGTTCTAGCTTAATAATAAATGGATTGTCTTATAGTGGAGTGAAATATAAGAAATATGAATGCATTTTGACAACTGTTAAAAAAGATAATGCTCAACTCTAATGTCTTGCATTTCTCTGCTATTGATGAATATTAATGGACAAAGGTTTCAACTTTTCCAGTAACCTGCTTTTTTTTCCCTGCTAGTTTTTTTTTTTTCATGCTTGTGAAATGGAAAGCTTTTAAAAGATAGCTTTTAAGGAATCATTGACAAAAGAATTGTGAAACTTTTAGTTAAAGCAGAAATAGCCAGAAAAAATAACCTATAAGAAAATCTGTGTATAACTAATTATATACATGAACAGGATTAAAAACATTACATTAAACTCCTGAAACAGGTCCCCAATTAGCTAGTAACCTGCCTTGATTTAGAAATGCTCTTTCTTATTCAGTGGGCAGGTGGGGAGAGGAAAACATTCTAACTTAGCACTGGTGAGATTGGAAATTTAATCTTTAAAATATATTGCAACCAATTGTCTACGCCAGTGGCTTGGTAACACAGTATTTGCAGTTGTTTTGGAAGAAAGGAAGACTTCACAAATTGGCTTCTATTTGTGGGAATAGTATTACAAATACCAGGAGTAGCTTTTGACAGACCAGCTATATTTGTCCAGAATTAACATAATTGCTATGTACACGGACAACACAGCCTTTACATGTACTTCCTTGGCAGCTTGAGTCTGGCAGTACAGGCCAAACAGGCAGGTACCATGTAATGCACACAGGGCATGGAGCAGATGCTTGCCCTAGCCCTCCTGGTAGTAGCAGTGGTTTGGGCAGCTCCAGTCAGGGCTCCAGGGCCCAGCCAGAGCTGCTGTCACTGCAACAACTGTTACTGGGCTGAGCTGGGGCCGGAGCAAGCATGTTTTCCATGCACCAGGCTGGAGTGAGGCCAGAGCCTGCGGGAGCTGGAGGATATGTTTTGTGGTGGCAGGGAGGGGCAGAGTTTGGGGTACAGTGAGGGTGGAGTACAGAAAGGGAGGAGGGCAGAGATGGTGCAAGAGGCAGACAGCACCTCTGGCTCTGGACCATGGCCACGGCAGCTGCCTGCCCCCCATGCCACCTTGTTCTCTATTCCAAGACTAGGAGCTTTCCCCCTCCATATATTTCCAAAACCTTGTCTTGGAATCAAGTAAATATGGTATTAGGTGGTCTTCGATCTATTTTAAAGAAGAAATGAGGCAAGCTATTAATGATGTTCTACAGAAATAGTTTATTGGATAAACTTTCTCTCTCTCTCAGGGCTTGGATGTGGCCTGCTATACACAGCAACGGTAACCATAACATGTCACTATTTTGATAAACGCAGAGGTCTTGCACTTGGTTTGGTTTCAACAGGTATGTTTAAAAAATGGCAGTATCTCTGAGTTCTAAATTTCTGTTGTACAACTGCTGAACTACTAGTACAAAAACCAGATCCTAAAACATCTTGCAGTGCATACCGCTACATTCATTTAGACAAACAAATTTAGCCTCTGTATAAACAGAATGATACTTGGTTTTAGTCTTTCTGCACTTGTTTAGTTTGTAGCAGTGATTCTCAACTAGGGTGCCACTGTACTCTGGGGTGCCATGAGATCCTTTTAAGGGAGATGTGCCGTATTAGCACTGTTAGATGTGTAAACACCTACACCTGATTCACCAGATTAAACCCAGTGGTTTCAAATTGTTTTTGACTCTATGGCTTTTTTCTGATTTACGTGGTCTTCTTTAGTTCTTTGCAACAGAAGAATTACTATTTTTCCATAGTCAAAAAAGCAATTGAAAGGTCAAAATTGGCATTTTTTCCATGGATTGCCTTGAGATCAATGAGGTTGAGAAGCAGTAGCTAATGGACTGAATCTGTCTTGAAGACTTGGTTAAAAAAAGAGTTATTTTGGTAAGGAGAGTATTTTAATTGGGTTGTATTAAAGGACTCTTTAACACAGTAACTAGTTGTTTGTGAGTGGTAGCTGGATATTATCAAATATGGCTTATGAGTTTTGGAAACTTTTCAGGAGTCCTACTAGGAATGGTGCCTCTTGCAGCACTCAACTTTCATAGTTTGCTTTTTTTCTCTGAAAGGTTGTCATCCCTTCTTTTCCTCTTGCAAAACCCCAGTGAGAATAAATTTGAGGAAACTGAGTGGAAGCAGGCCTATGCTGAGTTATACTTTAAGGGATTATTTTAAATTGTTGATGCCCTTTCCTTTAATTTTTTTCAATTAATACTTAATTGATCCTAATACTTTTTGACATTCTAGATTTTATAACTCGTCACAATGCCTCTTTTGGCCTGTCAAGTTTTTTACTCCATATAAGCATATATATATCCAAGAAAGCCAATACAGACATCAAGTTACATTTTCTATTTTAATTATAATTTTGAATTGCTTCCTATTGTGCCTCTCATGTATAGAGTATATTTTGCAGTGACTGAAATATTAAAGCTTACTATTGGAGACCTATAGGTAACCTTATGAAATACCTCTAAACTGATTCTGTTTCCTCTTCCAGGTTCAAGTGTTGGACTTTTTATATATGCAGCATTACAAAGAGGACTCGTAGAGCTATATGGAGTGGATGGATGTTTGCTAATAGTTGGTGCATTATCCCTAAATATATTAGCATGTGGGAGTCTAATGAGACCCTTGGAATTCTCTCATTCTCCTTTGCCAGAGAAGCCATGCCTAGAAAAAATTCCAGACCAATACTTCCTTTATCATGAAAAAGAAAAGAGTGTTGAAGAAAATATCAGCATCCTTGAAAAAGGCTACAGTGATGAAATGTGTGCAAATGTGTCTGATTGCAAACAAGACAGCATTTTAAATAAGAATGGATCAATATCAATAAATGCAAATGAAACCGACACGTATAGAAAGAAAGTTGTAGAGCAAACATACTTTTGCAAACAGTTTGCCAAGAAGAAGTGGCAACTATATTTCAACTACTGGGAAGAAACAGTGCTGCTTTTTAAAAACAGAGTCTTTTCAGCTCTTTTTATTGCCATCTTACTCTTTGACATCGGTGGATTTCCTCCTTCACTGCTTATGGAAGACATAGCAAGAAGTTCAAACATAAAGGAAGGAGACTATCCTGTGCCTCTTATCTCCATTATAGGCTTTATGACTGCTGTTGGTAAACTTACTTTAGGAATACTGGCAGATGTTAATTGGGTCAATACTTTGTATCTATATGTAATGACCATAATAATGACTGGAGGAGCCTTGTTTGCAATTCCATTTGCCAAAAGTTATGTTACATTAGCAATTCTTTCTGGGGTTCTGGGCTTTCTGAATGGAAACTGGTCAATTTTTCCATATGTAACTACAAAGACAGTGGGGATTGAGAAATTGACACATGCCTATGGAATATTAATGTTTTTTGCTGGACTTGGAAACAGCTTTGGACCACCAATTGTTGGTAAGTTATTAAATAATGTAAAAATCTGTCCTTAATTTTCCATTACCCCACTAAATTTACATTGAAGCGACTTCTAGTTGGACCTGATAATAGAATGAGATAGATATATAGATAACATAATTAATTTTTTTTTTTTTCTCATTGGCTAAGTACAGACATTTGGGGAGGTTAAACTGGGTTCAAAATGGCTGTCAGATTTAAACTTGGCTCATCCCGGTGCCTCCCTTATACTTGCAGATCTGGTCTCAGTGACTGGAAATCAATCTAAACCTGTAACTGGACAGAAGTCCTATGCCTGTGAACTAGTCTCAAAATTGTGTAACCTGGTTTAAGATTAAGTCTGGATCAATGTAGTATAAAACCTACTTTATTTAGGTCAAACTGGTATATGAAACTTCTGTACACTTGCCCTGCGCAGCCCCAGGGCTGGAAAAATGCAGCTACCAGCCTTGGCCCTAGGGCTGTGCTTTTCATCCCTCTGCCCCCATCCAGGAAGCTTCTATGAGTGCAGCTGCTTTTATCAGTGTTCATTGCTGCCAGAGCTGAGCAAGTAAGTCCCACTAGTGGGGAGGAGCAAGAGGGTTGGGGGTTCAGGTTTGCCAGGGGGGCTGGGGAGCTAAAAATAGACCCCAATCTTCCCAACCCCCCATGCACCCTGCAAGCCCCCCTGATCTTGCCAGACACTCCTGAACCACAGTGACACCCTGTGGGTCATGCCTGCCCCCTCATTCCCCAGCAGACCCCTGACATTTTTTTCTTCCTTGTTTTGTTTTGTCTTTACCTCTTCTCTCTAGTCCCCACATCCTGACTTACCTGATATCGGGCAGCCATTTTGAACCAATTTAACTTCCCCCTAATGCCTCCACGTGCCTATACTTAGCCCACATTATCAATTAATCATGTTTCTCTGTCAACTATACTGGGGAAATAGAACATAAATGTAATATTTGGTGTAGATTGTTCATATGGTTAACTTGCATGTCTTCTGACTAGTTCAAATATTACCTTTTTATATTTCTCTTTCGTGCTTGGCAACTGTAGCTGACCTTAAATTCCTTTTCTCTTTTCAGGTTGGTTTTATGACTGCACACAATCGTATGACACTGCATTCTACTTCAGTGGACTTTGTGTTTTGGTGGGTGGGTTTCTTCTGTTGGTGGCAGCACTGCCTTTTTGGAACAACTGTAGCAATCGTAGCACAGAGACACCACCAAATTCTTACTCCTATAAAGTGGCATCTAGTGCTTAGATAAGGACTGGAAATATTTAAATGCCTTTTTATACGAAGTCACAAAATATTTTAGTATCTTTTTCACTTTATTTATGAAGTACAAAAATTCTCTTTAAATAGAAAAATACCATTGTTGCTTACTGTTACATTAAAAAAAAAAAAGGAACAGTCTTTTTTGTCTACAACATACAGTGTTGTTTTTTGTTTGTTTTTTATCCATCAACTACTGTAACTGCTTTTCACTCTACAATGGGGATATTCTGCTGTATTTATCAACCATATTTTTTTATGGAAGAAGAGAGCCTTGTTGAAACAAATAAGGCCTTTTCCTTGTAGAAAAGGGCTGGCACTAATGTCTTCCATCAAAGGTCTCCAATAGTTCTACCAGAGGGCTTTTTAAAAAGAAAATTTCTTTTATCACCTAGAATGTAAAACTATGTGGTGCTTATATAGCAGTAAGGTAAATGTTTCCTTTTCATAAGGTTTCTTACTTTACATCAAAGTGCCAAGGAGAGAAATTTGTAAAAAAACAAACAAACAACCCAACAAAAACTCAAAACTGTTGAACCCAAAATATTTAAGCCAAGAAATAAATATGATTGAAACCACATTGAGAAAGTGATGCAGTTATGCAAGCTGTTTATTCTATATCGGACTGCCTTGGGAAGCTAGATCCAGGGCATTCAAAAAGGGTTATAAATGGTTGGAAGCACTCACAAGTTGTTTAGTCAAATTTATGATAGCAAAGCCTAAGGGCCAACAAGGACAGGTGCCCCACTGTAGCAGGCACTGCACAACCATAGAATAGGAGATGGTACCTGTTCCAGATAGGTTAGAAGTAAAATAGACAAGACTTTTACAGAACAGGGAAATAAATATAATGCACAATGACCTTTGCAAAAGCAGCCACTATTAATGCTGGTCTATGATTTTAGGTTAAATAAAAAGGAAAGAGGGGTGAGGTGGGATGACATAGTAAAGTAGTGGTGGCTGGGGAAGGGACTGTGAGGAGGTGGCAAAGGAAATTTTAGAGCAAAAGGTATGAAATGAACTGAGAGAGCAAATTGTGGGGAAGGAGAAGATTGGAACAAACAGATGGGGAAAGTCCAGTAAATAATAGTTCCCCAGAGATCCCTACAACATTTATTGACAAACTGTTATACAGAAGATCATTAGGACTGATTGTGTTCACTTTAAATTTTTATAAAAAGCTTCTTAACAGGTCCATCTGAGGGAGTGGTAATAACAAGGCGAAGAGAGCTTCTAGCAGCAGAAAAATATCTTGCTGTGTCAAACCAGTCCGACTTCTTTGACAAGCACTAACGAACATAAAAAACTGGCCCTTGGCCTATTAGGGTTTTTTCCCCCAAATCCCTTCAGGGGTGTATAAAAAATGTGTGTGTGTATTTTCATGTTATCCAATAACTTGTGGAGAACTCAAGGTAAAATATTGATGTGCCTAGAAGCACTCATTGGACCCTAAGGTTTTCCAAATAAGTGCCTGTAAAATATATTCCAGTGCAAAAACTGGACTCTAAATGTAGCTATGCATGCAGGAGTTGTGTAACTATGGCCCTCTATACCTTATAATTAAGATGTGATTAACCTACCTAGTTGCACCTTAAATTGTGACCCAGCTACATGTTAACCAATTAATGGTGTGATAAAAGCAATAAGCTGCAAAGTTATGTTACAGAAAATGTGTAATAACTTTGTAACTTGTTCTGATCATGCTAGTAATTGAATTGTGACTGGGAGCCATACCTACTACCAGCCCTACAGCTAACAAGGCTTGCAATGTGGCAGTATTGTCAGCTGCTGGTCTTGCAGCAGGGAGAACACTATCCCCACCCCCCCAGGTGAGTCTTCTTGGCTGTGTCACTTGCTGTGGCAGCAGTATTGTTGGCTGCGGGGCTTGCAGCGGGGGAGAACATTCAATGAGGCTCACAGTGGTGGCTATGTTTTCCCTGCTGCCCTAGCTGCAAGCCCCACAGCTGATGTGGGCTTCAGGGCTTGCAACAGAGGCAACACGGGGAATGCTGTCCCTGCTGAAAGCTCCACAGCAGCATTCCCCATGTGAGCACCCTACCCAATGAGGCTCACAGTCTGGGCAGTGCTCCTGGTGCCGCTCCCCTCTGGGAGCTCTGCAACCCTTGTCAACTGGGGTTTACAGCCACAGGAGTCAATGCAGATGGAGCCCAGGATTATGATCCCAGGCTCCCTTGCACCGGCAATAAGGTTCAATGGGATGTACTGTATAATCCTAGAACAACACCTACCGTTTATCGCACATTACATCTCATAGTGTCTACCTACATGTGTAGAGGGGCCCTACATGTCAGCTTACACCAACTGAGGCTCTGCCTATCATGTATAATGCATAGACTTAGCCAAATGCACATTACACATCTTTAGCAACATGGTCTACAATGCATAACATCTTATCAGTATGTGCATATTTTAAAATGACTACATTTTGATGCATTAATGCAGTGGCTTGTACAATTATTTCTTTTTCTCCTTCTATGTTCTGGCATCTCCACTGCCTTGGCATCATGGATATGAAACTATAATTACTGTATTTGTCATTATAAAAATGAATCACCAAAGTGAACACTTTAATGATAGGGTAAGATAGTACATTCTAATGAGGAAACAGAATCTATTATCAGGCAATTTCTGTTTCTGGAACTTGAATTGGTGATGTGGTCTCCTTCCTTGATTTAACTTCACCTTGATGAGAAACATCTCAGCTAGTGGAACATCTGAACTGGGACATTGATTTCAATGTAGTGATACCGATTTCTGCCAGCTAAACAGCTGGGCTATCATTGTGACAGTATGGATCTCCTCTTTTTCAGTAAGTGGGAATATATTGACAAAAACTGGCTGCATTTCATCATCACCCCACCTCACTTTTGGTTCTCTGTCTCAAGTAATCCAAATAGTAGGTTTCCATATTGCTACATTTATGGTTAACATTAACTCAGTGGTATTATTCTCCCAAAGTTGGAAAATTTTAGGCATCAATGGAAAACTGATCAGTCATGAATGACAAGTTTTGAATTATGAGTGTATATGGACCTTACCAATCATGTAAAGTATGGATTTTTTTTTTTAACCCTGAACACTTTCTTCACAGTTTTCTTATCAATGACTATCTTAAAGCTAGAAAGGTTAAGTTACTCTTTTCAGAGTTCCAGTGATACAGTAAATCAGTGAGTTACTCAAATTTTGAAGGTACCAATAGTGGTGTTTCTGCTGCCAAGTGAATTATGTGACAATCCAATAGGGTTTCAATGTTAGGTCACCTTATGCCTTTTGGATAGAGGCATGTTCTGCTAAAGTGTATGACAAACATACCTGAAACAGGGATTTGCACATACTGGTTTTTGAGCAGAAATGACATGCTTATTCCCTTCCACACCCTAGAGGAAAAATATGTATATATAAACATCTGTTTGCTTGAACCAGTCACGTTGACTGAGTCTGTAGACAATGAAACATGCTTAATCAATTCTAAGTTTTATTAGATTTAAAATATCTGCAGGGGTTTAAGAAGCTGTATAGCTCACTACAATAACCCACTGAAGTCTGCTAACTAGTTTACTCGTATCAGGCTGATATTACTGTTATTAGACACTGATGTTCAAGAACATAATCAAATGTAGGGCGTTATACAGGATGGATCTGGTCCTCCATGTTTGCACAGCACTCCTGTAGACAGTCATTGTATTGGAAGAGATTTCACTTAAGAAACATTGGTAAAAGATCATAATTTGTTACACTATTTTGTAGCTATTTTATTGGATGTATTTAATATTAGATCAATTTTAAGTTTATCAGCATATTTTTCTATCCCTGTTGCTGTCACTGTTTGATTCCTAGAGCAACTCCACTGAGATGGGTGGAGGTGTACTAGGTTTATGTGCAACTCTACCTTAGGTTGCACTGGGGGCACTCAGTCCAGGTTTATGCTGCTGTTGCCAGCCTGTGGGAGGTACTGACTAAATGTAAACATCAACATCCTACCCCCATGATCTTTGGCTACATGACCACATTCTCCACCTCCCAAAGGCATTAAGAAAGATTTGGCTATTTATAATCCTGATTTAATGTTGTCTCTTCCAGAAGTTTCACCTCTCATTTGAGGCTGGCCAGGAATGCCTTTAATCACCCTTGCTTATTTTTGGCCCTAGTTATGGAGTCCCATGTTTTGCGTGTAGCTATTTTTTTGGTATCTTTGTTTGTTGCTCATTTTAAATATTTCAAGCCAGCAGTATTTGGAACCTATGGCTTCTACACCACTTAAAGAACTTATTTGCTCTGAGATAATGCTGCAGGTGTCTCTAAAGGTTAAATGACCAAAAATGAGATGCTTGAAAGAAAAGGCTTCTCTAAAAATGCTTGGCCAGAGTCTTGTGGCAGTAAGAATAATGTAAAGTTATTATAACTAGAAATAGGCATGGGGGAGTGTGACAGGTCACCCCCAGTGCCATCTTCCAGGTCATCCTTTCCTTACGTGGGGCGCCCTTGGACCTCTGCTGTCCCACTCTAATCTCGCCTGCCACGTCTTGATGGAATTGGTATGCGAGTGGAAGACTGCTGATTATATTGGGTATGCTGGGGTCTCTCCTATGATGGTCTGACCCCTTTTTTCTCTAGCTAAGCCTCTCCATCCAAGCCCCCCAAACAGGGTTAGACTCCGAGGCTCTAGCTCTTCCTTCCAGTGCCTGGAGGCTTTTGGCCCCTTTTTCTGCTCCCTTCCAAGGCACAGCACCCCCTGGCCCAGGGGTACATGTGCCGGCCCTACAGCCAAAGGGGTCACAAGTTCAAAACCCAGGTGTGACCCCTCCCGTCCAAACAATAGAAAAAAAATATACACTTGCACCTCCCCAGGTTCCAGGCCTCCCTGGCCTTTTTAAGATCATCCCAAAACGGTGCCCTTACTGGCACTCAGCCTCTCCGCACCCCTGTCTCTCTCTGTGTCCCCCAAAAGCTGCGCCCTCACTGGCGCCAGGGTCTGTATCCCCCAAAAGCTGCGCCCTCACTGGCACTGGGGTCTGTGCCCCCAAAAGCTGTGCCCTCACTGGCGTTGGGGATCCCACTCTGGAGTGGGTTCCAAAAATGAGGCCTCCTCCAACCTCTAA